AAAAGAAAGAGCCCCCTCACCTGCTTACATTTTTGCAGGGAGGAGGCACAATCCCTGGTGGTCCAGTGGTTGATTAGTATGTTCTGCACCTTTGGCTGGTGCAGACCGTACTAATCCTTTCTTTTGGCTGGGTGCAGCTATGGTCTACATCCGACAGAGATTCAGACCATGTAGCTGCTCCCCAATCCAGGTACACAGTGCCTGACTTGTCAGCTGGCTACGGGCTGCATTATACCGGTTCGTGGGCCGGAATTGGACTGCGGGCGGGTACTTTGAGACCACTGCCTTAAACGGCCAGCAGGAACCAGTGGCAAGGGGTGAAGCAATATGAAGCATAAATATTGATACTCCTATTGAAACCTTGATGACATATAGGGGTAAAACTAGGGAAAATTTCAAAGCAGAGAGCTTTTAGAGCCCCTCACACCTATGTGAGTGGTTACGCATGTGCAGGGAGGTGCATTGTACATACCTCCCAACTTTCTGAGATCAGAAAGAGGGACACCTTATAGTACAAAGTATATAAGCAAAGGACAAATGCCTTGCCACACCTCCAATATATATATATAGGGGAAGAGGGATTAAAGGGATCCAAATGAGGAACTGATGGGAGATATGGCTTTGCATATAGGCTGTCCTCTCAGTTGGAATAGGCTCTAAAGTTATATTAATACACAACAAAATGTACCTGCTTTATTTTTAGGACCACAGCATACCACAATGCACATATCAGTTACATATCTGTCTCATGATGTGGTGTAACAATGATGAGTTTGGTTCTACAGTGGAGGTGTCTTAGGCTGGCCATACACTGATGCCGACAGCACCACACACTTTGCAAATTTCAGCGGGTTCCTCAAAAACTGTCCGAAATTCGCAGGGTATGGGCACCTTAAGGGGGCCATGCACCACAATGCACATAGACAACGTGTTACCCTGCTTTGTGGTAAAATTCCTTATAATGTACGTTTTAACATGTGTCACTGCAGTACAGGTGTTGGGCCAGCATCAGTGGAAGTGCAGGAAAGAAATAGCCTACCCTCATAAACCTAAAACCGGAATCTTTATTTGTTTGGTGGAAAAATGTAAGTTGTCACATTAACATTGCTATCCCATCTGTTTGTATGATTTGAAAGTGTATCTAAACCAGAAATGTAATGTACTGCCACTTACCAGTCCTTAGATGTGGTAGTATCAATAGTTTTCTTTTTCATGCTTTTTCACTTTATTATCACCTGGTAATCATGCACATAATGCATTTCTTGTCCCTTTATGGCTATGCTCATTTCTCTACTGTATCTATGTAGCCATGGTTGTCACAAAGACTACACTTCAAACATGGCCGCTTTTTGTTAATTTGATTTGATGGAAGATAAAGATGATTTTGTCTGTATTTTGAGCTCCTAGGAAGTGAATGAAGTACTGCATTTGCGGAGATATCAACAGGTATTTTTTGTACTTGCTCATTATATATATACAGTATATTGGAAAAATACTGTTGAAATCTTCCTTGATGTAAGATAACCCATGAGTGCTCTCTTTATATGATTTTTAATGCAATGACAGTGTTTAGGTGTACTGAAATAAACAATGTCAAAATTGTATGAAAATAATTGTGGATTACAGCTGTTGTGCAGTTTACAGGTGGCTTCTGTAACTAAACCTATATAAGCCATGCACATCATTATACAGTTTTACTTCTTTATGAACAGACATGTATACTGTGTATATATGTCTAGAAAAGCTGAATGAATGGGATTCCACAGGTTTGGTTATCATTATTACCAGTAATTGCTTATTTACCATGACAGCTCTCTTCTTTTAGGTATATGGACACTGTATGCTGTTTAGCTGTTTCCTGAAGGAAAACTGCAAAGTTTGAAGATAGGGAGATCATAAGTGCGTAATGCTGTAATATAGGGAAACAATGTAAAACCATTTGTGCTTGCTAAAGTCACACTATTTTTTTTCTCTCTGAGCTGTGTGCTTTTTATCCAGCGTTTGCTTGCTTTGATTTTCTGTACCTCCTCCCTTTCATATATCTTTCACTCTTTTCTTCTTTGTTTCCTATGCAGTGTCCCTTCTTTCCTGTTCTCACTTTCATCCCCTTCACAACCCCATATACCCTCACTCATTTTCTATGATTCATTCTTTTTCGTATTCTATGTGCCCTCCCCCTCCCCACCCCAT